AAATACAAGTGGTGTATTTTAAACGATGAGAATTAGTGGAGTGTTTTATTTTCTCATGATAGTATGTCAGCTATGCAGGAGATACAATGCTGTGCCGCCACAGCAGGGGATGTCCCCTTCTAGTCCTATGTTCATTTAATGCCTATGAACTAGCTATTACTCAAAATGTCTGCTCCTGACAGTCATCTCACTAGCTGCTTTGATATTCTGAAGTCAACACAAGAAAGTCAGTTCTAAAGAACTGAGTTGGTTTTTCAGTATCATCCAGTGACAAATTAGTGAAAAACAACTGCTTAATTTCCCAGTATGCTTTCAGATACCAAGAGTATACAGAGAAAAGTTTACTATGGTTAACAGACAAGGTTTTCCTTATAAGGCTAACTGTACTATACTAGAAATTCAGGCAAGTATTAAAACTGCTTGGAATTTCTTACATTTTGTTTAGAAAGACAGAGTAAGTTATGCTTTTCCTGTAAAATATACATTAAAAAACATTTTAGAAAATTCCTAAAAATCCACGAAGGCTTATCTTCATTAGTGCTAAGCTCAAAGAAGTTGATATGGCTCAGACTAATTCACAGCAGTTCACTTAAAAAATTATTACCTGTATAAAAGCCAGTAGAAAGAAATAAGCTGCTCATCCACATGGCAGCAATTCAAGACTCAGATGAACACATCTGCAGAAAATGCTTCTTGGTATTTCTGCAGGATTTTTAAACTGGCACTTGTTTTGGCTACCTAATCACTCCAGTCAACCTTCTACAGAAATATGAGTGACAAGGCTCAGCTTATTTCAGTAAAACCAGCTAAACTTAGCAGCATTACTTCTCTCCCTACAGTCTTCTCTCAACTAGAGTTAAGTGTCTCAGCTACACTGAAACTAACACACACACACAGGATTAACAATGGTTTCTTAAGAGACACTGAAGCAACTAAAAAAAAAAACAAACTTACATGGAACTTGACTTACAAGGCAAGACTGTATCACTCATTACATACCCATAAGAAAGTTACTGATACATCAGAATGAGTTGAAACAGAATACATAAATATTGCAGATATTTTCAGAATAGAGCACGTGTGATTAACTTGAAACCTCTGGTAATATAAGTTACATAATTATTAAGACAAAGCTATATTGAAAGCATGCAGTAAGACTGATACCACAGTTTATACAGGCATTGTTGTAATTGCTTCTTGACTAAAGCACAGCTCACCACATCTTTAAAATGCCGTATGACAGTTACAGAACTATTCCTCACAGACTTGCACCATGTAAAATTATTTTTTGGAGTCTGGGCAATTAAGAGATTAAATGAGGGAAACGCTAACAAATGTCACATAGTTTGTTTTCACATGAAGGTATTAAAACTAGGTACACTACAAAATACCTGATGGACATTTTAAGGCTTCATGGGCATAAAAACTGCTTCTGCAAGCACTCAGATTTAACAAGCTTCATTGTCTAACTGTAATATACATCTTCAGGCATTTCAAAACGTGATGCTTACATGGCAGTATAAACATGATTACATATTAAATTGCTTCCTGCATTTCAACTTGTAAGAATATCACTTTTACACTCAACAAGGAGTTAAAACTGCCATCTCCAGATTACTGGAGAAACTTATACAGAAATTGGGACAAGACACACATCTTCATCTGCTGACTTCACCAACACAAGCCTCCGCTAATGAGCAAAACTAAAAAGAAAATTTTAAGCTTGCAAGTATTTTGAATAAGAAACCAATCTGAGTAATACATTCTTTAGAAATAAGGGTAGAAAAAGGGGCAGAAATGGAGTAGCACATAGTAAAATCCTAAGTTGGCTCGGCTGCTTCATAAAGAGACCTAGATGCCAAACCCATCTAAGGATTTTGCAAGTCTTGTTAGAGGACAGAGGCAGCTCTGCGATATGCACTCACTGACTCTGGAAAACGGTGTTGAACACTCTTAGGAACAACGACCCATTTAGCTTAGTATTCCGTTTTAAATTGAAGTAAGAATAGCAAGGGCAGCATTGACCCAAATACTCTCGATTTTCCTACAACAAAGGAAATTTAGAGTACTATATAGTCTGGCAGCTACAAGCAACAAATTGCATGCTTTGAATTTACAGCCTTAGTCCTTTAAAAGCCTGTTTTATGAAATAAAACCGTCGATGTCTGAACTACAAGTACAGATTACCAACACATAGCTCACTGAAAAAACAGGACATGCTGAATGCTCCACTTGCAGATTTTACATTGAGACTTCCTTATGGAGCCAGATCTTCCCCCGCCAGCCTCAGCTTCTTTGAAGCAGTTACATGGATGAGTTTTCCCCCAGGTAAGTTCTTCAAGGAGCTTAATAGATGTTTTATTTCATTGATATGCATCACATGCTAAGTGATTCACTCCAAAGGTTACTAGTTGACCACTGTTACACTCGCCACCAATGTAGATACTCCACAAGAAGCGGACACCTGACTAATATTAAAGATTCCATAGCTAAGGCCCTGCCCATGAACTCATTTGTTACTCTTGAATTTGACAAAATGTGGATGGAAGAACTAAAGCTAAAAATGCGCTTTATTACCAATTAGAACATACACAAAGTTTCAATATAATAAAAAGCATTACAAAAAAAAGCTGCTGAATCTTTTGTGTGAGAAGCAAGCTTACATTGAACAAGTTAGAACTTCCATCCAGATTTTGATACCCAAGATCCATTTCTTCCCAACAAATTCATCAATAAACCGTACACAAGTATCCACCTCAGTTTAATAGAAAGCCAGTAATAAAAAAAAAAAAAAAAAAAAAAAAAAAAGTCCACTCTCAAGGATTACAGTAAATACATATTGTCAGCAACAAATCCAGTACATACAAAACAAGAAGCTAGATACAGAAAATGAAAGTCTGGTTACACAAAAAAATACATGACTTTTTTTTTTTAAAAAAAGAAGAAACTTAAAAATCTTAAGTTTCCTGGATCAGTGAAGGAGAAATTCCTTAAAGCTACGAAGGTGTTTCAGCCTCTATCCCCACCAACCTCAACAGGCCGGGACAAGTGCAATACCACAGACACACACAGCATTGCAACTGATCCCAACCTGTGTAGAAAGGGGTACAATTTTTCCACACTCACTGACTGACTTGTCACTGCCACAGTCAGTTTTGCATGGATTTGCACAGCAGAGTATCATACAGCTGGATGCAAACCTGCAAAACTAACCAGAGAACAGTGTTCAATTAAACAACAAATAAATTTTAAGAATGCTGAGTATGTAGCTCTACAGCTAGCAGTACTTTAAGTGCTTATAATGCAGTAGATTAGTGAACACTACCTGCACTATAAGCACTTTAGTGCTACAAGAGCTGTCATTCGCTAGACTGCTGTTACAATAAGGAAGGCCACAAAATATCTCATAACCAGCAGAAAGTAATTCAAACTCCTTGATGTAGATTATAACAGGCCACCATCAGTTTTGCATAGATTTGCACAACTACACTCTTCTTGTAGTGCAACTATGCAAAACTAACAGAAGACTGCAAAGCAGAGAACTACTGGAACATCTACAGTCTTAACCTGAGTGACTGGATGAAGACATAACTTCTTATGCCAGAAGGAGCACTTAGGGCAGTAGATGCTAATCTACTTCACTATCTGCACTAGATGCACCTTAGTACAAAAAGCACTTGACACCACCACACTGTACCTTTCCAATCTCTGAAGTCCTGCAAGATCTCCTGAGGCAGTTGTCAACATAATGCTACAAGTGCCTTCACTGCAGTAGGTTCTGTATGTCACTACCTGCACTGTAAGCACTTTGACATTACTCTGACACAACCAGCGTTTTTAGTAAATCAAGGTATGTTGTCTACCTCGTACCTGCTGAAAGAAAAAAACAAAGTGAGTATTTGATCAGGTTTTGAATTGCACACCTTTGACAACAAAGCTTTGGAACAAATAATCACACTTTTGTTTCCGGGCTAAAGACCTCTTTCAGAGTAAGCTGAAGCAGCACACTGGCCCAGTCCAGGACTCCGATACAGAATACCAAGAGTATTAAAATCAATGCTGACTGACAGTAGGAGAGCCCAACTGTAAAAAATGTAAAAATGAATCAACATTCTCAGAAGGCCATCGCAACTTGTGGAGATAAAAAAAACTATTACTTTTCAAAAACCAATCTGAGCCTCAATAAAAACCACCCTCTCCTCAATAAAAAAAGGCTCAGGCCAGTAAGTATTTCAACAAAGTTTATGCCCAATTCTAGGTAACCAGGAATTTAAAAATTACATTGAACAGATCACACCATCAGCTTTCTGAAGTCCAGAAAGCACCTTATGACTCGCCAGGTGCTCCCTCAAGTTTTCCACTTACTCGCTTTGCTGGCAGGTTAGAACATTTGCTGCTACTGCCACAGACACCCTGACTCAAAATACAATTCCTACCATTGTATTTAGATTGGCCTACCTAGCAACAAAAAGCAGGTTCTAATGAGAGCTGTAAAATACACAACAACTAAATTAGAGCTACTTATCACAGACTGGGATTCAGTAAAGCAGGACAGCACTGTACTGAAAATTTGAAAGCACACTTTATTCCTTAACAGGAATATGGACTTAAAAGGATCGTGTGAACATGAAGTGTCTCTTACCTGATACTTACAGCAAGCTTAACATAATACTTTAAAACTACAAGAAAACCGTAACTTTTGTTAAGACTTAAAAACGAGCTTTGCGCAAAGAAAAAACCCCCAAACAACAGATATAAAATGTAAAAATTTTTAATATTCTCCCACTGTCCAGCTTTTTCAGTTGGACAAGTAAACGCTTTAAAAACTTGGGATTAACATCCTCTAAACAAGTGAAATTGTGAACTGTTACACGTGCCTCCAATCCCAAGGAAGTCTTTGGAATGTACTGCTCCTAACCAAAGTCTCAAGCTCAGCCGCAAAAACACCAGCTCTGGCTCCACGATTTTTAAAAATTATTATTAAAAACCTAAAAACTCACCGTTTTCTGCCAAAAGTTAACTTCCTCCACAAATACACTACTGCAACATCCACAGAGCACTTCGTTATTGCCTGCTGCACATGTCGATACTGCAAAAGAAACACCAAGTTATTTGCTTTTTGTTGCTGAGGAGAGAACAAAGTCACCGAGCGAGTTCCCGAACGCCCGGGCTCCCCATCCCCACTCCACCCCCGCGGAGGGCGCGAAACGCTCCAGC